AGATAACCCTCGTGTAGCTTTGCGCGAAATTCAAAACAAACAAACAAACACATGAACATGAACTTAGTGGCAGTGTGGTAAAGAGTTTCAGTAACATAAATATATTTGGTATAATGAAGCACGCTTTCAAGCAATCAGCCAGTATCTGGGGCCTGTTCCGGAGAGGTATAGAAAGCCATGTTGTCTTGTTTCATCAGAAGAATGTTGACTATGTAGAAAAATGTTACATACCATGAACATATGCGTTATAACTATATAAGTACAATTTTTTTTTACACCACAAAAATAGGGAACTTCGCCGATTCCCTCGAACCCCCACACCCACGTACGTGCGTGAGCTAAAACTGGTGTTATTTTATATTATTTTTCTTAAAACATTCTAAACAAGAGGCAGACAAATGAAACTATGATCCAAACTATAGTGTGAGAGGTGTGAAATGTGCGCGGCTAAAAGAGATGTCTAACGCAATGAGACGCATTTTGTTTTAATCTCTATTCGCGAACCCCACTTGTAAGAATATACATATTAAACGCGGATGTAAATGCTCAATCTCACAGTGTCCCACATCTAAAAGTATCAATCTGGAGCCAGATGTAGCAAGGTGGCTAGTTTTTATAAAACAGATCAAAATAAAATAAATAAATGAACGAATAAAGAGGTTATGATCTTACTAGTCGGGATGATAAGTAAAACTTAGCTCCTGAAGCTAGCATTCAAACCACGTAACGGCCAGTTACCTATAATAAGGCTTAGCAAGGCCTGGTGGTTAGGGCGCTCAACTCCTAGCCTGTGGGTCGCGAGATCAAACCCCGTCACCGAAAATAGTTGCCCTTTCAACCGTGAAGGCGTTTTCATTGAAGAGCAGCCCTCCAAGAGTTAGTAATAGGCGGTGTTGACTAGCTGCCTTCTCTCTAGTCTATAACAATGGAAAACATCACCCCAACTCCCCCTATATTAGAAAAAAAAAGGTAGCTGATCGCTAATCTTCAAGGCTTAAGATACTAAAATCTAGAATTTGGTTACCATGGTAACAGATAGCTGCTGCCCAGAGGCCCCATGGCAAACACTGTCATATAGATGTTCACAAAATGTTTGAGTCCTGTTCACCTGATTGTGATGAATGTGTGCCATATGTTGAGTCCTGTTCACCTGACTATGATGAACATGGGCCATACGTTGAGTCCTGTTCACCTGATTGTGATGAATGTGTGCCATATGTTGAGTCCTGTTCACCTGATTGTGATGAAGTGTGTCCATATGTTGAGTCTTGTTCAGCTGACTATGATGAACATGGGCCATACGTTGAGTCCTGTTCAGATGGCACATGCTCATTACCATCAGCTGAACAGGACTCAGCATATGACACATGTTCATTACAATAAGCTGAACAGGACTCAGTATATGACACATACATGCTCATCACAGTCAGCTGAGCAGGACTAAACATATGACACATGTTCATCACCGTCAGTTACCATTAAATTGTGTTTCCTGCGTAAACTACTTGTGACAAAGAAATACACGTACTCACATAAACAAATAAATATATTTCATAAAAAACATATATTTTAATGATTAGATATGTGTATGTATGTGTGTGTGTATACCACAGTAATGAAAAAGTTTGACGTGACATATTTAATAGCAACTAGTGAATTAACAATCTCCGTCTCCAGCAACAGCATACATAATCTGTTGCTTTGTCTGTTACTACACCACGTACTACGATTCAAGAAACTCAAATCTAATGATATTATCCAGTAAAATTAAAGAATCAGTGTCATTCGAACATCTGTGATTATCTCCTTCCTATAACATATATATATCTATCACCACACAGATCGGCTAACAGCAACAACAGTATGAAGTTGTGAAAGATATTTACTACGCGCCATAAACTACCCATATCAATAAACACACTATCTGCTACTGTATTGCCATCTATGGGCTGAAAAATCTACTCAGTTGGCAACTCAGAGAAATAAAAATTGGCAACAGCCTGGACGATTTCTGCGTTACACATAGTGACGTCACTGTCATTGTACACTTGTAAAACATGCACAAATTATTTTTACGCAAAACCTGTTATTGCATGATACTAATATTGCATACAAACATGTACAAGACTTCTCAGGTTATTGTGGAAGAAACAACTAACATTGTTCACAAAATATTTATATTTCGCTTGAGTACTTTGAAAGCAAGGAATGTAAGGTTTTTTGAAGTTCAATCTTTTCATATATACATATATATATATCAGTAGTAATGATCCTTTCCTCCACATCAAACGAATCATCAATCTCAACATGTTATTCTTGATTGAATCCATCCACCAGAGGCTCATTTTAACATTCTCTTCAATCCATACATGTCCTTCACGTACTTCGCATACCGCCTGATTGCTTAAGCTCAAAGTTCAAAGGGACGAGTCGTAAAAAAGGAGATAAAACCCATTCCAACGAGAACTGAATTGCTGTCATGCTGTAAAGACATAATACTGTCAACCCTATTTACAATGTTCTTTCACTGTCTTATTGTATCATCTCTCTTCATTTATGTTCATATCACTCATTTGTTGATGCATCAACTGTAAATCTTACCTATCCATATGTACGTGTGGATACTGTGGTATATTTTTACTGGGAGATGACTGCACATCACACCCACTGAGAGCTGAACTTCACATTATAGCATTAAAAAGTTTCGAGAAGAATCAGTAGACTTTTGCTTAGTTGTCTAATACACTCTCATAACATATGGCACATGTTCATTACAATCAGCTGAACGGGACTCAGCACAATACATGTTACACAGAATAGTCAATACACTAATCAACTAAATATTATGAGGGAAGTGAAAACACACAAACATTGCAAGTAGTGAAAACCTGGAGAAAAAACATTTTGCTGCTTGCACGATCCCAAGATTAAAATTTAAAATTTTGTGTGTGTGTGGCAGGAGATGGGAGATCACATGGCTGCATCTGGTGTTGGGCAGCAAAAGTTTTATTGATTGATATTTATATCAAAATATATTAAATAAAATAGAAAATGGTGTCATACAGTAGGGGGCGCTATGGTCTTGGATGGGATGTTCAGGAAGATTAAGAAAAGTTTCAAAGCTGGAAAGGGACTTCTTCAAAAGAAGGGGGATTTGAATGGCTAATCCAGTCACCTAATCTAAACTCAGTAAAGCCCATGTGGCAGGAGTTGAAAATGAGTGCTGAGGCAAAGCCACCAGCAAGGCAAAAGTGTAGGTTGTAATACATAACTGAGGAACCATGGAAGAATGTTCCTATCTCGTTATACAAGAAACATGTTGAGACAACGTCAAACAGCAATAATAAAATACGTCTTTAAAATATTGTATAAGCCAATGAATTATTAAACAAAGAGTAATAGTGAACTAGATACTTCCTTCCTAATTTATTTTATCACACAACGAAAGTTATGGGAAAATATAATCAGTATGACTAGCCATTGTAAATTTATTTCTAAGAATTAAGGTTATTAAGCAGTTAATATCATGAGTGTTAATGTAAAACACTTGAAGGTCAGTCTTGCATTTCAGAAGGATCATTGAAGAAGGTGACTAAATATATAGTGAACTTACGCGAGCAATAGCTTATTTTGTTATAAGGTAATTCACCTTATGATATCTGCTTATCACAATTCTTCCCTGTATTATTCTAGTCTCTTCTGGACGTAAGTTAACATGATGCAGCCTATTGACAACCTTAAGTTTGTAAGACACCAAACTTCATTACAAGGTGAAACATAAAGAAACTTTGGATCCAAATTACATATATAAATTCTTTAACAAAGACGACTTATAAAAACTATTTTAATTTATAATGTATATAAAATACTCTTTAATGTAAAATATATATCGAAATGCTTTTCAAAATAAAATGTTACACGAAGGTCAAGACTTATATGTATCTGGTTCGGTCTATACATATCTGCTTTTTAAACTTTATGAGTAGAGTGGGTTATTCTAACTTCCAAACTTTATCAGTTCTTCTCAAGCTTTTTTATCCATTACAAACATCTAGAACAAATATCCTAAGATCAGTAGACAATTCCTTCTCTTTTCAGCCATATTGGTTCACTCTTCTGGATTAAGCAGAAGGATGCTAATGGTTGTTTTATGCTAATTAGTCAAATGATTTAAAATCAAAATTATTTTCTGCTGGTTTATTCTTCAGTAGTTACAATATTTCAGTTCAATAAGTACACCACTTACAGGTTAAAGTTGATGTAACACTTTAATGACCAAATACTTATAAGATCCTCCTTTATTTGGTTTTAACACTTTACCGTAAAAATTCACTTTTAAATAATAAAAATGATATCATGTTCTTTTCTAATCATTGAAACAGAAAATTCCTGTCCCATGCTTACTTATTTATTTTAATAGGTACACACACGTACCAAAAGCTTATAAGAGCAGCTTTATGAATACATATCTTGTTCATAGAATTTAAATATAGTTTTCAATACTTTATTAGACACTTTAGACGTACAAAATGTACCCAACCTTTATACTATGCTAATCCTTTTCTTAGAGACCTTCTAAGGACGTTTCTATTTTCACACCTGGCTAGCTTGAATGATACTTTTTAAGCTAGTATTAACATGTTTGTTACACATTACTCGTAAACAGAGGTGCTAAAAACCCGCTTTCTCTGTTTGTTGATGAAATTTATCCACACAAATAAGTAGATTGCCATTTTGGGAGCTGTAACAGATCCTAGAGTTTGTAATATAGGTAAGGCCCAAATTTTCAGTTTACAATTGTTTACGGAGTTGCTTTGCGAGTGAAGTTTTTGAGATTAGCATCTTTTAAACTCTGGTAGTCATGCGTGACTGCTGAAATGTATTGAATTAGTTTTGTGTTACATAATTCATGTGCCTACTTTATTTGTCTGTTAAGTAAAGTAAGCGTTTTTTGTGTGTAGTGTTTTCTCTCTTAATCAAGTTTGTTACTCTGCTTAACTTCAAGTTATTGTAGTTTGGTAATTAATTTGTTGGTTCAAAATTTACCCTAAAAATATTATAATGTCAATATTTGTTGACCTAAATAGTTTATTGTACCTAGTCATTAAAGTAATTGGCCATTATGGGGCCTTGAATGCCAGCTTTATCAATCAGTTTTACTTATCACCCCATTGATATGGTAGTTTTAACATTTTCGCCCCCCCCCAGTGGCACAGCGGTATGTCTGCGGACTTATAACGCTAGAAACCGGCTTTCGATACCCGTGAAGGGCAGAGCACAGATAGCCCATTGTGTAGCTTTGTGCTTAATTTCAAAACAATAACAAT